CGCCAAAGCCAAGGGATATCAGCATTACAAACTGAATAACCCTTTTTATTGGTTGCGTTAAAGAAACCCCGTTGCCAGACCATTAATTCCAACATCAATCTTCCCAGAAGATATTAGTGTATTTTATACATATTATCTACCTGTAAAAAACATTCTTGTGTGCATATCCAAAAGCCTTGAGACTGATACTGGATGCTGCCATCTTGGATGTGATGTCAACAACCCTAATGGACTCAAATTTGTCACTCAACTTAGCAGTGGCAGGCAACCTCGACACCCCAGCTGTGGTGCTTCTGAGAGTAATGCATGTGGCTGTCAGAGTCTTGGAATGTCATGTCTACTGGGATTTGGACTTTTACTACAACTGGAGCGCCGAGATTGCCTACCCTTGCGCTATATTATTAACCTTCACTGCTTTCCCAGCAGCTACATAAACGGTTATAGGGAGGTGAGGGGCAGTTTTGCTAGGCCAGCACTGACAGTAATTCGCCATTCCTAGAAGAGGGCTATAATGTGCAAGGAGGGAGGGGGATGCGCTAGGGAACAGACTGGAGTAGTCAAATTTCGTAGCAAGTTAAATGGCACTTTGCAAGTGAATAATTCATTTAAACCCAGCAAGTAAGCATTTCCAATACTTGATTTTCTGAGCTTTTACCTGCAATTGTTTAAGTTGGTGACAAGGTCTCTTTAAGTCTTAATTGAGCCATTTCGCTGTCACATCTGCTGACATTTTTCCCGTCTAACTAAACTGTGATCTGGAGCATCATGTTTTGTTTACAATGTATCAATCCACTTGAGCTTTCTGCGACATTAAAGATCCGTGGAAGATAAATGACTTAAACTGCTCTAGAAAAACATATTTTCAAACATTTTTTGTATTATTATGTAAATGTTTTAGGTGTTTGTCAGATTTTGTATTATTATATAAATGTTTTAGGTGTTTGCACGAATAGAAGATATTTTTAAGATAAACTAGAAAATGTGACTGTTTTATTTGGTGCCTAAGTGATTCTTAACACACAGGTATTCATTAGTGTGGAATCAGACCATATTTTAGGTGGCTATGTGGGCACGTTTGCCATCTAACTAGAAGCAATTATAGGGGGAGGCTGATTATAGAGCGATGGGGTAAAGAAGGCAGAGCTGGAGCTGACCATGGAGCTGCATGGATATAGGGGGCAGATTAGGTTGTTGACATACAGATAGGGGGGTATCAGAGGCAGAGAGGTCTGATCATGAACAATAAGGGAATAGGAAGGCAAAATGGCAACTGGGGAGAGACCAGCGGGGACAGAGAGGGAGCTAATCATGGACCATGGGGGAAGAAAAAAGAAGCTGCATGGCAACTAGTGGTCGACCAGAGGTGGCATGCAGGAGGTAGAAACTGATAATTGCAGAGGGTGGAAGGGTGAAATGAGGGATAGCTGGCTATGGAACATTGGGAGTGGCAGAGAAGGTAAAGTAGATAGAGTAGAGTAAATGAATATGGATAGGGGGAAAAGAGAGAGGAGGCAGAGGCGCCTGTTGGTGACCTCATCATAACCCATTGGGAGACTAGAGAGGGACTGAGCATGGTTGTGGGGACCTAAGGGAAGATGATGGCTGCTGAGGGAAGCAAGCAGAGCAAAAACTGATCATGGACAGGGGAGAAAGGAGACAGAATGATAACTGATAGTTGTGAGGGAAAGAAGGAAGAGAGAACATCAGTGGCTGATGTTTCATTTCTTTTAAAATTTCAACCTTTAAATGCTAAAAGCTCCACCCCCCTAAAGTGTATTATTTAAGTTTACTGGTTAATAATGTCAGAGAGTTTAATACAAACAGGACATACTTTGCATAGTTAACTGTATTCAGGAAATGGACCAAAAACAGATCCATGCCACTTTTAAAGATTGCACGCACAGGAACAGTAAGTAGCTCTACAATGTCATTAATCAGAAGTACTATTTCACGTTTCAAAGCAACTTTTTTTTATTTCCTAATACACTTCTACTGCAACAACAACCAACAGCGGGGTTGCCCAACAGCTGACTGCCCATTAATCTAATTTTATAGTACATCAAATAAATTGGTTCAATGCGGGACTCGAGATATCGATCTCAAAATTTCCTCTGAAAGTTGAGTTTTTAATCTCTAAAAATGAAGGCGCTTGCCAATTACAGACAGCGGACAATTAAGAAGGGGATGCAGGCGATTAGACTGGGTCCCCCCAGAGCTACAGAATAGTTATCACTTTCTATAACCACTGTCACTCATCAGTAAAATGAATTCTGTATGGGATATAGACAGTTGCTCCTTAGTACTGTAGCTGCTGTTTGTTTTATCTCATTAGCTAATGAGATATTTTACAACCACAGTCCTTCTGGCAGGCCCCCTAGAGGACACTATAAGGTGCTGCTGGTTTATTGCTGATGGAGGAATGTAAAACACTAGCGGTTTGATGGCCTAGGCTAAAAGAACTTCAACTTAATTAAAGGGATCCATAGTCTCTTTCATGTATATGTTATTTGCCTGCTGCAGATAATCTTATCCATGCATATGAATAACCCATGTGCTTGGAGCAGCTTTATTGTGCATTGCATATGCATGCTGTGCTTCCTAGAGTGCAGCACAGTATTCTAAAAATGGGGAACTGGGAGAAAATGGTTTTATGTGGGTTTTTTTGCTTTTTGTTTTATAAATAATACAAAATGTCATTAATACCAAAGGATTCCCAGAGCACTATGTGTTATCTAAAGAGACAGCACAGTGGTTGTCTTGAGGCTTGCTTTCTCCAAATGAAACCTTGGATAGAGCTGTCTGATATGTGAGGAGTCACAGTTCTGAATCATTCACTTGTGTGTAAAGCTTAGCTAAATTTCACAATAACAGAGGGACAAAGCTGACAGGGAAAACCCCCCCCCCCATAAAAGTGTATAGTGCCATTTACAGGATTAAATGCAGAATACAGAATATTAATATGCAATATTAACAAAAGATCATGGGTTTTTTTTGTTGTTTTTATCTTTAGTTATCATCATATCATCATAATAAAGAATATTTGTACAAAACCAAGTCCATATATTCATACTGCATTGCATCCCTGGATGTAATGCTCTCGATGAGCAATGGTGATACATGTGTGGCAATGCTTGGCTTCCCACTGTATCATTAAAGTGACACTAAACTCAGGACTTAAATCTTAAACATACATTTAGGTACTTAAGATACATTTTTGTTATTAGTTTATTTGTGTATCACTCGGCTGTAGATCTTCAAATCATCTCTGAATTGGTGCCGACACTGTCCTTCCTTCTAGAGGGGGGCTACTTTTGTTCCCCATGGTACCAGTGTGTTGTAAAGTAGCCACCACTCCAAGATTACCCCTGTGATGGACTACAATCTCAATACAAATGAGTAAACTAAACATGAGATTGTAGTCCATCACGGGAGCTACAATGTTGTAAAGTGACTACTTTACAACACACACCAGGACCATGGGGGAACAAAAATAAATAGTAGCCACCCTACAGAAGGAAGGACAGTGTCAGCATGAATTCAGAGATGAATTCAGGATCTTTAGCCGAGTGATACACAAGTAAGCTACAGTTTATTTGAATTGTTCGGCTATTTGAATGTATTTTAAGATTTAATTCCTGAGTTTATTGTTGTTTTAAAGGTAATAGGACTAGACCCCACTTGGATGGAGATTTTACAATTTAAAAAATCTCTGCATGCGGTTCCACCAACCAGAGAATCCTGTTTTTTCCACCCTCTGAGTTGGTCAGGGACCAGATTTAACATTAGACACAGCAGGCCTGTGCCTAAGGGTTTCCGAAGCAAAGGATCAGCTGAATAGTTAACGGCTATGCAATTTATTCATCTTCACCTGTAGAAATACAGTCACAGTCAAGCTTATTAAACATTGTGACAATATTTTTTCCAACATATTTTGTCATTTCTTTTCACTTTTGATACAGAAATATAACAAAATAGATCTTCAAATAGTAATCATTGATTAAGTAATTGAGGAGCAAACAAACTGTTACAATAGTGTTGTTACACCCATCAAATGCATGTATAGCAAAAATAATAGGGAAGAAAACAGTGTATACAAAATAAGTATTTGACTACATCTCACATAAAACGGTGGGATATTGCATCCATAGAAATACAATACAATCAGAATACCAAAGAGTTAGTTACAAGGAATATACATTAACAGTACACAATGATTAATGTATACAACAAGGAGCAGGAGACTGATATTATGGATCATAAAGTGCACATATCACCCTCAGAGGGGGGCAGCCTCTCCCCTTCATTTAGCTTCATGTCAAGTTGTATTGGGTGGACTCCAAATATACCTGGAAAACATCCTACATTTTCAATCCTCCCAGAATTCTGTGCAAGGCTTCTGTCAAATACCAAGTAGTGAATTGAAAGGGCTCAACTATTGCACTTATCTCGATGTCCTTTCGCTGTCTGTGGTTTTGTCCAATGTGGCAACCAAATGTTCTGTCCAAATTAATGTTTTTTGGGGGGGTGAGATTAGGGAGTTTGCAAGTTGAGTATGATAACCAAAGGGCCATGATTTCTTGTTGTTCCAGCAACAGACAAGTGTAACTCCAATCTTCAGGTTCTCTAACAAGCCCAGGTAACGCAAGATAATGTTCTGTGAATAGAGGTGATCCCAGCAGAGGGGTGCTGCTTTGGGCACCAATGGTTGGTGTGAGGCCATAGTGATGTAAATCTGTCCCTTTATAAAATTATTGATTGCCACAAGCAGAATTAAGAGCATTGCTGGCAGATATTGTCCTGTTTCTGACCACCCTTAGTACCACCTGGATGCATTCAGAAATGGCTGGTGGCCATGATAGGTGCAAAAAAATCATGTAGGATGAGCTCACTGAGGCTGTTTATGGCAAATCCTTAGCTAAAATAATAAAACCTATCCAAGAAATGTGCTTTATATCTACACGGTGAATATGTATATAATTAAATATATGTTCTCTGCACAGGTCAGTCTGGATTTTGTACGCAATGGGGAGTACGCCCTGGAGAGGATGGGGGTGACCTACACGGCCGAAGCCCACCTCAAGTCTCCGTTTGATCCAAACAATAACCGAGTCAAAGGCATTTATTGACACAAACCAGCCTGGTGCATTGAGTTTGGTCCCGCTAGTTCCCAAATCCAACAAAATGACAGAGGACATTCATTTAGAAATACAGAGAGCTGCTAAAAATCCCCAAAAACTAAAAATGATTAACATTTTGACCTTTTTTTTTACAATACAAGAGCAGCACCCAGCACTCTCAGAAGCCATGGGCTTGTTTGATTTCTTTGTGCTTGCTGAGAGGGAGTGTGGATGCTCACAGAAGAAATCATTACATTTTCTGCACTTGTACCAGGTGGTAGAAATTTTGAACATACCATTAAAATAAATAAAATGTATGTTTATTTTCCAAAAAAAGGACAAATAGTGCTGAACTACAGAAGAATATCACTACTTCAGAAGTGAACTGCAATGATGAAATGTTTAAAGAACTCTACTGTTCCTTCTGGATTCCCAGAACTACTTTATAATCTCGAAATACAGATTATGATCATCTGAGAAGTTTTTTGTTGCAGAGAACCCACTATACCAAGAATTGGATCCTATTTACAATTTGGAAGTGTGCTGCACAAAATCTGTAATCACAAAAGTAGAAATCTGCAAACATCTTCACAACATTTTGTAATTCCATCAAAATATTTTCTTTTTTTAGTTTTGGGCTGTTTGGGGAAGGGTTAGAACCACTGTCAGTTTTTACTCCTGTCTTGTCCTCATCATAGTACAAATGAACACATTGGAATAATGAATGAAAATAAAGCCATTAACATCTACTTCTTATATACAGTAGTTGCCAAAATGTGGTATTTATTTTCCAATTCTTAGCAGTAAAATGATGTCTCACCAGAAACTATCGGTGCTTGATTTAAATAATGTTATCAGTTTGTGGTATTATTAAAAAAACAAACAAAAAATATTATTTTATCTATCATTTGTATTCATATAGGTACATGAGGGGAACCATATTTGTTCATTATATACGAATGTCTGCTTTTACGGCATTTACAGCATTCTCTACACCTAGCCAAATCGGCCAATCCGCTAAAAGCAAAACACTCTTACAATGTACATCTTATCTCAAGAGTTGTTGAGATAAGGTACTCCCTCTAGTGGCCAACCTACAAATCTATATATTTAATAGAATAAGAAAAATATGAAAGGACAAGCATGTCAAAATGTTGCGTCAGAGTCACTTAAAAAAAGTTTTTAAGTGTAAACACATTAACGCAAGGCAGTAATAACTTAATGAAAATATACTTTTTGTTGTAGAAACTTTTTATCTCAAAGTCCCTGAAGGCAGTAATAAAATGAAAGAATAAAATGCTTCATATACAGTCCACATTGCAAAGCATTTAGCTACTAGAGTCTGTGTGAATAGCTCGGCTAACGCCCCCGTTATCCGTATAAACAGCGGCATCATTTTATAAAGAGTCACAGGGTCAGGAAAAAAGGAAAACTTTCCTAGCATTTGAACGTGCAAACACAATCCAACTAAATACACAATTCAGGCTTGATGCATTATTCGTGCACTGTGGGGGCTGATGGGAGTTTGAATAAAATGCGACTTCTCTACGCTTATAAAATTGAAAGAGCGTTACCTGTGTGTGCTCTGTGACGGCAGGTATGTATCAGGAATCTTTCTTTCTAAAAAAAGGCCAAGCT